GGGGATTTGACTTTTCCGGACGACGTAATATAACAACTTCCTTCCACCTTGGCTTTCTTCATAATATTTCGTTTACATCTCTTTGGGTTTCTTGATCGTTTTTTGCTAGTCTTTAGCCCGGGATCGGAGGAAGAGTCACTCTGACTAGAACTTGCAGAATTGACACCACGGTTTTCAGAAAACTCCAGGGTATTGCAACCTTCTGCAAAAATATCTCTTCCCTCGTTACAACTTGCACTATCACTCTCTGGGGATTCACGCACTCAGAAAAGGAGTCAACGCCTGGCGTCTCGGCAGTCTTGAGCATTGAAACCCATGAAATCCTCTTGTGAAGAGTCAGTGGCTGAAAAAGTAAATTCCTCCTCAGGGTCTGTGAACTGGTAAGGATCACCAAGTTGGGGTGTTTCATTCGAAACAGCATCCGTATTTCTTCTACCAGGTGTAGCCATATTTCCCGTGTTGTAAATTGCCCTAGGCAAGTGTCAATGATTTGGCAAAAAATTTGCTTGCTGACTAATATTAAGGACCGGGTGGGGCAGGGGTGCTCTGGAAGGGATACTTTCAGGGGTATTTACAACTAACAACAGTGTTTCATTCCGATCCCAACTAAACTTCAGTGAACCAATTGTTGTAGTGAAGTCAGGAGGTGTTAATCTGCACTCTTCTTGGATAAGGATCTTTTCTCCATCTGACTACTAACATGTGTTAATGGCAGGGCAAATAGCAAGAACATTTTCTATCGTCACACAGTGCTTTCTGGCATTTTTCTTCAACTTTTGCATAAGTGTGGATCGAACCAAAGAGCTTGTTATCCAGATGTTGGAATTCAATAGTGTAATCATTTCTTGCAATTACACGCTTCTAACTCACGCTGTGGAAGAGAACTCCACCTATTAGACATCGCCGGAATACCCAAATTTTTCCATGATCTGCTGGCAGTGTTGCTCGCTGGTCTTTGGTTATGAGCGCTGACTTACTCCAGACTCGTTCTAAAACTCCAACAACATGTGCAGTTTTTCCAATACTTTCTTTTGTTGATCTAAAATCAAAAGGGAAAAGAGTAGAAACCCATAAATCTTAAGAAATACCATTCAAGATATGTGATGTAAGAGTGGCACAAAAACAAAAATAATATTGCAACGTTGCCCAATTTAAGGTACCTGTATATGACAAGAAAGCCAACCCAGAGACAACATCCACATTTTAAACCTCACAGATTAACAACATTATCTCATTTATCACGTATTAAAATTAAAGAGTTTGTAATAGATGCAAGTGGCTTAAGACTTTCATTACCTGGCATTGTAACGTTTGTTTGTAAGTTGTTCATAAAATGCTTTGTCCTCAGGAGTGGTTGTCGTAGATCTAGCAATCTCAGGTAACTTCTGAATTATTGACACTGCTGTTAGTCTTGCAATTGTTTTTTAAACCGTTCACAATGAAACATGATCTTCACTCACCATCATTATTTTGACGTGATTAAAATAAAACAGGATAAAAAGTCCATTATCTTTACATGCTTCAAGAGCAAACCTGGCCATCCACATTTTTCGTTCTATGGAATAACTCTCGTAAATCACCACTGCAGTCCTCAAATGGAAAGCATGAGTTTGACCACAAAGGACCAAGGTCTTTCACAAGTTCGGGAAGATGCAACAGGTGATAAACATTAAAGGACTGAAACTGCTGTCCTTAAATAAAACAGTTAGAATTCTATTATATTTCCTATTGTAAGAGCTAGAAATAGTTACTGGGGTAACTACGTAGCTATATACATACTTACGTACCATACTCAGGGATTTCTTGAAAATAATACAAGTACTGTAAATCTAATACTTGATATCACTATTTTTCTGGCGATAATACAAGGACACGTCAATTTAGAGTCAGCCAAGTTTGAGTTACTGGGTCCTACTGCATTCATTTACATGGGCTTCTCTATGTCACTACTACACATTATAATGCTTACCAAAAAAGAAAGGAGCTTGTGCAGTAAAAAGCCTCAAATATGTATGAGCTTCATGTAATTCGTCTTGTGAAATTGACTGCTAAGTAACTTGAACATTCCACCAGTCAGCAGCATCAGGAAGAGATGATGGCCAGATGGGAGGTATCTGCTCAACAATGGTGTGGCATAGTAGAGAAGAAATGCCCGTTTCTCCGAAGCTGGAAACAAATAACTAAAATACCTTACAAATGAACAAGTACCACCTCACTGAAAAAAATTCCTTTCACAGGGCTCGAAATAATTTCCGAAGAGCCTCTGGACACGATGACAGGCCAAATTCACATAACATTTCTGGCCAGACAAATTTATCAGATAAATAACTCTTAAAAAAGGGGCCCATGAACCAAAACTGATGTTACCTATTTCCAAAAAAATCATTGCTTGGAGCTTACAGCACTTTAAAGCACTCATTGCCAACAATTAAAATAAACTATCATACACATTAAGTTTTCCATCACCTCAAATTATATTGACGTCTGGTTTATGTACCATGGTGTGAGATCTTAAACAGCGTGGACATTTAAATTTATTTTATTTTCAGTATGATTGAATGTGACAGGTCAGCATGACCAGCAAGAGGAAAGGTTGACCCGGTCAACTCCCCAATCAGTCTGGATATTGTCTCTTGCCATTATTTCCAGCCTCGTTTTATCCAGTAATTGTGAATGTCCAATCATCATACAATAATATACTGGACACCCTGGATCTTACAGTTTCAAAGAGCTCCCAGCCTGTCAGTTTTTCTGTGGAAACAACCTTGATTTCCATTATCCTTTTTTACAATACAGTGGGAAGAGATTTCAAATAGATAGTGTCTGGTGCTGTCCAGTGAAAGTTAAAGCAGCTGTGAAAAACTCTTCCTCAAGAACTGCACTAGCCCTAGCTGTTTGGACTCTTCTACCCCAAAGAAGAGCTTGGCGGAAGAAGACTTCATCAGCTAGACCCAGACGTCATTGAAGCAATAACAGGTATGTCTACTAGAGTACTATCAATGAAATTCATTTACATTTGTGGCTCAATGTTTCCTGGGCTCCGTCTTGGGATGTCCTCAGAGGGAAATAATACTTACTTTTTCACTCCTGAACAGTCATTAAGTGTCCCAAAGTGTTCGGTATTTGTGTTCTTAATCTTGGCAAGGAATTATAATACTGTGAAACCTCTTTCAAAATATTCTACTGTAATGTTACAGCTTTCTACTGCTACTAGAATTGTTAATGAAAACCCAGGCCACTTCCTCTCTGTCAATGCCACTTAATGTACCTCTCTCTCAAAGAAGCCATCATAGTAAGGTTGCACATAGGACTGCCTGTGTTGTCATGATATAGATGAGTAGCACAATCCTGATTCCATTTCAGGGGTAACTTTGTTTTATCTTTATTATCTCAGTAACTAAAGCCTGTTTCACCATCATTTTTTTCCTCAGATTGTTCAAATAGTTAGTCTTGATGTCTTGTATTTTCCCAACACGCTTTTACAGCGGACAGATCTACTATGACTGGGCTTGCCAGCATCACACAAGACTGGTATAACGCTACAGATCCTGGTAGTCTATATAATGGCGTGCATGTGGTCTTTGTAGACTTCCGAAAAGCCTTCCATCTGGTGGATCATGGCGTTCTGTTGACTAAACTCGCTGGCATGGGCATCACCAAGAGCTTTTGGAAATGGACACAGAGCTACCTATCAGGCAGAACACAGCAGGTTAAGCTCCCGGGAGTCCTCTCCAGACATGGTGAGGTGACTGCTGGTGTACCCCAGGGCGGTGTCATTTCTCCTACACTTTTTAATGTGCATGTCAACGATATTGAGGACTGCATCCCCAGGGGAATACCTGTATCCACTTGCAAGTACGCTGATGACTGCACCCTATACGACCTTGTCTTTAAGGACTGTCAGTCAAATGCAGGATGCTGTGACTCACTTGGAAAGATGGGCTGTGCAGAATAAAATGGAGCTGAATGCTAAAAAGACCAAAGATAAGTGGATCACCTTCAAGAAGTCCTGTCCAATTCCTGCTCCTATTAATATCAGGCCTACTGAACTGGAGAGGGTTTCAGAGTTTAAACTACTGGGTGTATATGTACAGAACGATCTCAAGTCGAATACACATGTCTCAAGTATTGTCAGCAAAGCGTGTAAACGGATCCACTATCTTAGGGTCTGTAGAACAGTCCATCTCCCCAGGGACATTGGTCTTACAACTTACATCACTAAGATTAGACCTGTTTTAGAATATGCCTCGCCTGTCTGGGGAGGGCTGCCCATTTACCTTGCAGAAGATCTACAGAGAGTGCAGAACAGATGTCTAAATGTCATTGGCCTCCCTAGGGATACCGTCGAGTCACTTGTAACTAGGTGTCATAATTTGACGAGGAAAGAATTTAAACGTATCCAAGAATCAGAAGCACCTCCTTGTAAACGTTTTTTAGAAAAGCCAGTGGATCATGGCCATAATCTAAGATCTTGTAAGACTAACCCAGCGCACTTCAGAATACCTGTATCACGCACTGTTAGGCACAAACAATCATTTATTCTTAGAGGCGCTAAACTTAACTTAATTTGATATGTATATATAATATGTAGTGTTTCGAATTTTTATTGTAATATTACCGTAATTCCTATCGCCAAAGGTAATAAATAAAGGTTATTATTATTTTAGGACTTGACGGCCATAACCCATAGACTGGACAGACATGAAAAAAAAACTAGATAATCTGATTAGTATGGCGCGTTTTTCTTATCAAAATTCAACTATTCTGCTCGTTTTTATTCAACTGAACATTAGTTTTTAAATTTTGACATTCGTTTTTCAACTTTCACATTCCTTTTATTCAATTCAACATTTGTTTTTTATTTGACATTTGTTTTATAAAAAGCAGCAGTCGTTTTTCAACTTTGAAATTCGTTTTTCAAGTTCAACATTCGTTTTATCAACACTTGTTTTATTTTCTGCTGGACCCACTATGAATTATGGGAGACTGAGTTGAGCGTAATGTTGACTATAAGAGAAGCTTTTCTTTCGAGGGTGCGGCCTTTCATGGAAATGTTAGATCAATCTAGCCTTGATGACAGAAACATTGACAGCATGCTTGTAGTACTACCATGCCGTACGCCTCGCTTCAGTCAACATGGTGGAGGGGGCTACAATGACAAAGGCAAAACTCCTTACAACCAGATGTAGAGTACACTGGTGCCTCAGGAAGGCCTAAGATTCGTGTAACTAAAGAACAGTTATCTCACCTTGCGGGTAACGGTTTTAAGGGGACGGATATGTTTCGTATGTTGAGTATTTCTCAGGCTACACTCCACGGCCAGCTTAAGGATTTTAACCTTGAAATTTCTCATTCATTTTCAACTATCGACAATGATACCTTGGATGGTATTGTTCGAAGTATAAAGGAGGAGTTCCCTAACAATGGCTATCGAATGGTTTGGGGTCATTTAAAGGAAGGTGACTGGTTATTCAGCAGTCCTGTGTTAGAAAAAGGTTACTATGAATTGACCCTGAGGGTACTGTGCTTACATGGCTTCACATCACAGATAGAAAAAAATACAAAGTAGCCAGTCCAATCACTCTTTAGCATATTGAAGGACATCACAAACTCATAAGGTTTGTTTCCCAAAACTATAAAGTAGCCATGTTTATAGCCATTTGTGTTTATTTTCCGATCCTTATCTGATTTTTGTTGTTGTTGTCACCTGTTTGTGTATCAAGGGTTTATGAACTGGATGGGGATGCTCCATATCTCCCTTAGGGGTGTGAATGGAAGATTGTGGTGTTCACACTCAGTGTTCACAGGACACTCAGGGTGTTCTGGATTAAGCACATTATTCTTGCACGTGAAATTAGTCTTGGAGGTGGACGTTTACAAGTCAAAGAACAGGGATCCCTTCCCAGAAAGTTTCAAACACACATGTATTTTGGACGAAAGTTCATTGCATGCAATTTTTGGTTTACCATGCCTGTTTTCGTGATGTCATGCAGTAAGAGTTTTTTGTATACTCTTAGCAGTGTATAGTGTACAAACAGCGAACATAGAGATTAAACCATGCCTCAAATGATCATCTACAGGAGGGTAAGAACAATCAAAAACTGAATTTTCAAAATGTCTTCCAAAAATGCGGTTGTGGTAGCTTAGGAGACGTGGTCATTTATGAGAAGTTCTAACTACAAGACTTAGAAATTAACATTTTCCTCTAATTGCACTAGCAAGAACATTTTCGAATGTACTGACTATGCTGATGGAGCATTTCTATTAGTGTGCTGCGTTAAACACAGTCATGAGCTTTGTCAATGATGCAAATGCTTTAGTTGTCTAATTTTGTGTCTTCCATGAACGTATTGAGCCTTTTTTAATTGGTGTTTCCATTATAGTATAAACTTGTGATTATAAGTGTATAACAGTGGCTTTTGAAGATGAAATTATAACCAACGGATTTGTTTTCTTATAATAGCACAACAGCAAGAAGAGTGGCTTTTTCAAAGACAAAACTCTTTTCCTTTTATCATTTTTGAAGGCAACCTTGATTCACCTGAAAAAATACGTTTAGCAGCTGACAAGCAGTTTTTATGCTCGTTTACTGGCAGGCTCGTGGAGGCAGCATGTAGATTGCTCGCCAGTTATGTGTTTATGTTCAATTATCCTGTCGGCTGGAAAAATTTATTTTCATATTTACAAAAGTGCATTCTGCACATTAATGATGCACAGATGCTTTAAGGCTCCGTCATCAGTTTAGTGAACGAACTTGATAGCCTATCAAAGTGTAATTAACCATGATATCATACAGTGAAAGCATTACAATACCTTGGCTAGGGTGGAACTATTTTCAAGTCAACCGAGAAAATGAATAACTTGATTTTTCTACATTGTAATACAGCAGACAGGCCAGTAGATTCAAAACTGGATCTACTGCCATGGAAATTAAGACGAAACTTTTTGCTGACATTGTTTTGCTAGATTCTTGAGAGGAACATTGTGTTGGATACAAACTCAACTTGTGAATTTGCTTGAAAGAAGAACTGCAGCAGATTCCGAGGCAGGATAGAAGAAAAAATATTATTCGTTGGTTAATTTTTATTATTGCACTTTCCTTGGTCATGAGGGTGTCCCCTGAAGAGAGGTTCCGCTGTATAATATGACATCTTTGGATATTTCCTTTTTTAGTTTTGTGTCTATAACAATAGACAAAACTTTGCTTATAGTTACCTCTTCACCAATGACCCCTTTTTCTAATTCCAGGGGATTTTCCATACATTCACTAAAGGCCAGCTCTCCATGATGACCACAGCCACTGATTTACAGTGCTTTACAAACAATATACTTGTTATATATACTAAATCACTTTGGGCATCGAGTAAGAGAGAGCTGACTGTCATGATTTTATGACTATGAAACAAATCAGCTTCGACATTGCCTGTAATCACAGTATTAAAGTGCACAGGGCCTTATCTGGCTGGCCGCAGTTGTTCACGAAGTGGATAACACTATCCACTGCCAGATTTTGCTGCAATTGATTTCCCTAACATTATCCTGTGGATAGCACAATCCAGCGTTTGAACAACTGGGGCCTGGTGGATACCCTTAACAAAATGAAATATACTTATAATATACTCCGAACATACATGAAGTATACTGCACTGGGTATACTTTAGGTATACTTGATGTATACATTTTGTATACACTTGATGTATACTTTTTGTACTAGTAATTTGGAACACCCCGATGTATACAAAAAGTATACCTCTCCAAGAGGATGTATACTAATGGTATACATGCTTCATACACAGAAAAGACCACAAAAAGTATACTTTTTGTATAACACTTGCAAAAAGTATACAATTTGTACACTTCTAAATTAAGTTGCTGAAACCCATAAATTTCAGTAAGGACAAAGGCATGCATGACCACCCTGGCTCTACATAAATTCACTAAAAAATGTTCAATATTTGCTTGTAACAATAAATTTTATTTGGAGCTTTTTTAACAGTAACAGACGTACAGTATGTCAATAATTTTTAAAACACAATATTATTTTCACTGTAGAAATAGCTTATATATTGTACTTAACATTTAATAAATATTTTTTCATAATTATTTCAAACCCAAAGACTGCTTGCTGAAAAAGGACAATAACCGAATGCCCTAACAAACTTGCAATGAAATTAGTAATCTGAATCAGGCCAACTACTTATCTGTCACAACATTAACTTTTTCTGCGTACATAATTATATTACAGAAGAAAAAAAAAAATTAAGCTTTTCACTCATCCTTCTTTAACTTTCTTGATTCCAAAGCACTCAGCTTGTTTCTTAAAGCCAGCTTCAGAGAGGACTCAGTTGGCGAATGCTTTTGGTATTCTCTCATGACAAATCCTGTAAAGAGGGTCAAAAATCATTACAACATGAGTAGTGAATTTATGGATGGGAAAATTAAAAAAAGCAGTTTCTGAGAGACTATTAATTTACATAGTCATCATGTTATTGCACACATACCTATAATGCTTTGAAGTATCTCCTTGTCTGGGCATTTCTTTCCATTTGCTCCAGTCAGGTTCATCCCCACCAGCTCGTCGTTTGTGTAAAAACAGTTTAACAAAAAACGATGCCGCTGACTTATACGACGCTCTGGCCATTGCTTGGTGAATATGGTTCTGGTACACAAAAACTTGAGAACCAGGAGTCAACTCTACCATCTGTTGGAATTAAGAAGAAAAAACAGCCATGTTATTTTTATGATAGCAATTTTATATAGACATACACACCTGAACAGCCTGTATAATAATTCCACATGTTCTGCCGCATGTCACATTTCAAATGCTCAAAAGACATTGACAACTTTGACACATAACAAGGGCGTGTAAAGAAAGTCAGCTTACAGTTTACCCTTTGGGCAAGTTGTGGCTTGCAGGGACTAGCCCAAGGAAATGCCCCACAAAAGTAAAAAAAAAAAAAGGGCAAGGAAAGCAAGAGGTGAGGACGAGGGAAAGTGAAAAAAACAGTCGTGGAGGCAGTGAACTTTTTTACCTGATGCCTGAACTTCAATGCTAAAATTTAGCATCAGAAACTATCAGCATTGTACTTGAATTGTTAGTATGTCTTTCGGGTAGTTCACATCTACATTGTAGATCCTTTTCAGCCTGGTAAGAACCAGAAAAGGTCTTAAATGGCTCGAAAAGAGTGGTTTTCTGCTGCATATTATCTGGGAGCAAATGGGTTAAACTGTAAGCCTGACTAGGTCTAGTAGGGTCGAACCTCTTGCAAACATCAAATTAGCCATTGACGACTACATGATTTGCACAAAAACTTTACACTGATTTGTCTACAATAGCATGCACATTCTGTGATTAAAATGGTGAATGAAGTGCTTACCTTAAAGCGTTCTGCTAGAATGGGACTGATCTTTCCAGGTCTTGGAGGATCAGAAACTTAAAAATAATGATAGGAATGACTATAGTTATTAACAAGATCGAAAGTTCACCTTGCATGTAATTATATAGTTTTGTTAGGTTATAATAGTTACGAATAAATACTGCATATTTAACCGAGTTCATTTATTTTCTGGTACTCAATGATCAATTATCTCCTTCATAAAAATTAAGAACCTACTTAGCCTAAATTGGCAATATTTTAAAATACATGAACCTATTTTGCCAGACTTCAAAAAAGTAGGTTCTTATATGCAGGTGTTTACTGTAATTAGTGGACAAAGACCAGACAGTGGATCGATCGATCCACCACCAAAACAGGGTGCCCCCAAGCAGACTAACTGGATTATGTGCATCCCTTTTTCTAATACCCTTATTTCTTTTTATTCACAACAAGACTGCCTGTTTTCTTTTAACTCTCATTCTTTAATTTTCAGGGATTATCACATAAACTTCCTCATACATACCTTGACCTTGCAAGCTCTTTAATTGATCTTCAAGTTCCCTCACTCTCTTTTTTTGCGTGTTACGCATGATGGACAATACTCTTCTTCATCTGAACTTGAGAGCGGCTGTGGTAGAACTCGTCTGGGGCATTTACCACCCACAGTTGGTCTGGCTACTAAGTCTTGTCTTCTGTTTGGAAAATTTCTGGGTGTGTTTGTCAGTGGGGTTCTTTGTGCTCCTGAAATGGTGGCTTCTTTCTGTTGATTTGGTATTGACAGTGGCACTTCTGTTAATCTGCCACGCAGAGTTGTCAGAGGAGATCTTGACACTGGTGTGGTGGAATTTGGCATCTGCTGAACTGGTGTTGTGGATACTGGTTCTTCCCACACATCCTGCAGTGTGGTCAGAGAGGTTCTCTGCAGTGATGGAATTGCTGTCTGACAAATAGATGGTGTGGTTGGTGGGTCCTCTGAATTGCCCTGCAGCATGTCCAGTGTCTTTTGAAGCTGTGAGATTGACAACACTCTTTCTGGTGTGGCACT